AAAAGTAGTGTAACAGTTAAGTTTTCTAAGATTTCCAGCTTTAGAGACCTGGAGGAGACAGTTCATAGTTAATATGGCAGAGTGTACTTACAGCATCCCTGGGGTCACTCTCCCACAGGCTCCCTGGCTTAACCAGCCACAGTATGGGTCACGAGATGCAATGCAAGATCTGTATGAAACCAAACAGAATGTGGCGTGAATTTTCTCATCATCCAAGGTTTTGAGGCTATAAACCCCTGTGTACCTAAAGAAACATGATCTTACTTTTTACATGATCCATACCGCTCGCAGCGGCTCAGGGGGATGCGGATAACGCAGCTGGAGAATGCCACATACAACGCATGGTGGTCTTTATCCAGCTGTAATGAGATGACCTTTTTGTCTTCTTCGTTCTCAGCATTGCACCTATTTTATGGGATACATGTTGAAGTCATAGGTTTAGTCAATCAAAAACTACACAAAAATATACAAGGCAGATGTGGTATGGTTTTGCAATTCCAGAGAACTGGGGAAATCCTAAGGAATAGTCTTGGTAATAAACCAGGCAAGGACACAGTTTGGGAATTAATAATTTATGTGATTCATCTGCTATGTCTTTGCATGGATGGTTAAGTTTCAGGCTGGACATGGGTTTATAAAGATTGCTTTCCTGTTAGGATGGTCAAAGGGAATTGCACACGTGAAGGACATGTTGGACCCTAAGGAATTCAAAGGATAATGATTCATGAATTTAAATCTTTCCATGCAACATGTTTCTGGATCTCTCCTAAGTCTTCTTTGCTTCATGTTATGTTTGTTTTAATTTTCCAAATAATCTCTTATATTTTACTGGTTGGAAGAAAATGCAAAACTATAAATATATTCTGTGCATGTGTGTGCTTGCAACCAACTGTCTGCCACATGTAGCATCCTGAAATATATCTACAAGGTAAGAGGGGTACTGCTAAAATGTTCTCATTTTCCACAGGTGAAAAACAGGGCTGAATTATTTTTAAACTTATCAACTGTTCATTTTCCTTGCCCTAGTGAGCTAAGGAACAAAAAACAAACAAACAAACAACAACAACAAAAACTAAAGAAGTCCAGGACTTATTTCAGTGAGGGAAAAAAAAAATCACTAATATGCCAAACCACCACTAATTCAGAGAGCTGAAAGGAAATGACTAGCTGAAATATTCAGGAAATTTTTGGATAGTGCTGAAGAGCGTTCTCGTAAAATATACGTACTTTGCATGGTTGTAAGCTTCAATCTCTTCCAGTAATACGCTGTCATTCAAAGAGAAAGGATTGGTCTTTGCCAAAACTTTAAGTACCACACCGGCTTCAGAGCCAACAAAGATGACTGTGTAGTTCTGGTGGGGCCCTGCAGAACGGTCCACGGCGATGGCCGTCAATCTGTACCTGTCAGAGAAGGTGGGGAAGTCAGAGCTGGATGTCAACAGCAAGAGAGCAGGCAATATGCCAACAGGTCCCTGTTGCCCATGCAATCTCACCTGACTCGTGTCTTTGTGAACCAGGGCTCATCAGCAATAGGTGGAACAGCAGAGTCCATCAGGGGATGGGATTTGATGAAGGACAAGGTTTCATCCGGGAAATCGATGGAGGTTTTGTAAGCTTCGGCAAGGCCATGTTTTGCACAACAGCCAGGCCTGAAAGGAAAACAGTATTCATTTATCACCACCCCGCCCCAACTATATAGAGGAGTAAGTGCACATTTTGAAAGAAGAGGTCAAGAAAGCAAAGAGAGTCAGCAAAACCAGAGAAGCAATCTATTACCCTGAATTCAATGGGTTCTTCACATTCACATTCTTGGGGTGGTAGGTTACAGGGTCATGTTTACTGACTTTGTCAGAGAATTGCATAGGACCCCTCCCTGGTATGGGAGGTTGGCCCAGCTGTTCTCTGAGGATGGATGGATGAGGCTACCAATGTCCACAGGGTTTTGTTCAAGACAAAAAATCCTTTTCAACGTTTTTCTTTACCTTGGTTTTGGAACTTTATCTTCAGGGACTGCTGTCCAAACAGAATCTGGTGTTTTCTGTTCTTTGAACCGTCCTTTGAATACTTTTTCAATGTCATCCATGCTAAATGCACAGACTGCAGAACCAGGAATGCTAAAAGAGACAGAGAGAGAGAGAGAGAGAGAGAAAGAGAGAGAGAGAGAGAGAGAGAGAGAGAGAGAAAGAAAGCCATCAAGAAGAGCCTGTTGACAATGGGCCCATGCTTGGTTCTGACAAACAAGCTCAGAATATCGTTTGAAGTGCCAGGGATCTGTTCTTACCTGTTGAGCTGAGTGGTAAACACCCCTACCACAGTAGGGATGCCATTGATTTGTATTATGTCTGTAATAGACTGCAGAACATCAAAGTAGAAAAACGAATCTCCAGGGACAGAACAGTTAAGCCGTGCCTTCAGAAATGATGTCCAGTGTTTCTCCAGTACCCGCTGGGAGCCACCCATGTCGTTTTTACATATGCGGGCCACACGGGAATAGACAGCCTGCCCAGGGACAAAAGCAAAGCAAGGGAGTTAGGAACATGGAAGAGGAATGGAAACAAAATGCTGCTATTTCAGGGAGGGGCAGAAAATGCTAAAGATATCTGGTTCAAAAGAATCTAGCAGCCTTCTCTCTAGGGGTCTATATGGTAAGAATGTAAACTAGATTTACCTGCAAGTAAAAAGGACCAATTTCTTATTCTGCCAAAATTGCTCCCCAGACCTGAGCTATCTGACTGCCTGTTGAATGAAAATCATTCCTACTCTTTTCTAACTTTGCTTCTCATACTGTTAATGAAATGTGGCATAGAAGGGACTGCAATGCTTTAAGATCACATGTGTTTTTTTTTATTGAAACACTTTAAATTGAATAGGAGCCTCTACTTTCTATACTGCTTTTTGACACTGAAAAAAGTCTCCACTATGAATGGATTTCAAGAGAGTAAAAGGAGCCTCCATAGCTCAAGGGTACCTGTAGAACATTCTCTATGGTGACAGAAAAGAAATGAAAACATCTCAAGGCCCAAGACTGCTGTTCCCACTCTGGCCATTGTTCAGGTGTTTTCTAGCAATTATTCTCACCATAAGCAACTCAGCTCTGAACTTGGCCTTACATGCATTGAACTGAGTGCTGGAAAACATGCTAAGAGAGCATCCATAATTACCAAAGTGGTCTCAATCCCATGCAGTGTAAGTCCACAATACAAATCAAGTACATATACTTGCCTTGCCTAAATTATTATGTTCTACAGCAATTTCTCGAAAGAAGAAATAGACATAGTTTCCGTATTCTATGGCATGAAGAAAGTGTGGCTCTGAAAGAAAAATGGAAAACGAACTGGTTCCTAAAGGATAATTTAATTAGCATATGACCCCGACTGCTAGGTATGACTGACAGATGTTGCATAGTTACATTCAAGGCCATGATTTAGAGGAGTCCCAATATGGGTGCGTTCAAGCTTCAGGGAACCCACCTTCTTCAAAGTCAGCTAATGGACTGTAAAAACGCCTGCAGGGAACTGAACCTCAGCAAAGGTCTTTGTTTCAACAGATTTATTCATTAACCTATTTAACTAGGGGAAAAAAATCTCTTACATTGAGAATAAAAAAAAAAAAACTCAACTTCTAAAATCTAAAGAACAAAACAACTACAGATATAGACTAATCAATTACCTTTCCAAGACAGGTAAAAAGGAGTGAGCACATAGTATTATGTGCATTTAGAGTTAGACAAATCAGTACATCAAGAGAAGATGGGTCTCATTTTGTTTTGCTTTGAGGTCATCTTTGGATAAAGGCCTGGATGAACTAACCTTCCTGACATGCCTGCTAGTCTCCTCAATCCTCACAGAGGCTCTCATTCACCAAAGCAGGTGTCCTTATTCCAGATGAACAATATAAAGTCATGCACTGAGCTTCCTGATGGCCTTGGCTACTCTTCCCACATGAGTTATCCCACTATTCTCGGCGACCCCACGCCATGGCTCTTCAAAGGTACCTTTTATCCATTTGGAATCATATTTTATTGTGCGAAGGGCAGATCCATCGCCCATGCTTCGATAAATTACAGCATCACTGGCCAAGAAGTCAGCCACTGTGGCAGAATACAGCTTCCCATCTGAAACCGAAGTTATAATTTGGTAAAATAACCATAATTATCCTGCAGTGTGTCAGCCTACCTAGAGTGCTGTACCTTCTGTGGTGCTTTCACCTGTGTTACCTTTGTCTACACGACAAATCTGCACCTGATGCTCACAATCAACCTCTAACTGTTTGGCCCAGGGCATTACTTAATTTTATAGATTAGGGATCTAAATATCAAAAGCTAAGCAACTTATTCAGGGTCACTGGCTTAGTTGACAACAGAGCCACGTGTTCAGAATACCTGAGCACCACAATATCCTTGCTTTTAATTTCCTCTTTTTAAAAATTTTGTTCATAGATTTCAGCCTTTGAAATGCTGGTGTCAAGGTGTCTATGAGCTTTTTTTCTTCCTTTAAATTCTTTTGCATCTTCTGCACCATGGATCATTTATATTCATTACACTAAAGGTTCTTACCAGCAAAGAGGGCAACATTGGTTTGTCTGGCATCAAATGGGCATCGTGCCAGGCCACTAATTTCTTCTCCATCGTACTCTAAGGTATTCAACTACAAAAGCAAAATAAATAGCTGGTGTCACATCTGTTCAATGTACCTGTTTGAAGGCAATATTGCTTTATTTGCATTGAAATTCTATTTGAAGAATTCTGTTTTTATTCTTTTCTAGCATTAGCGATAAAACAAATTACTGAGTTATAGCGGAAAGGATCCAACTCTAACAGCATACCAGTGAGGGAAGAAACAGTGATCAAAAGAAGCACATCATATAAAATATACTTACCCTATAGTATCTACACATAGGATTGAATGCGTTGGTACCACAAACAAAAACCATCTCATCATTTCTTGGAACAAATACTTTGATAAAGTTGTGGCATTCATCCTAAGAAAAGATAATAATTAATATTAGATATTTCACATGCTGACATTGTGGTATCACATAGCCCACAAAAAGACTGAGTGGGGCAGGCCCTGTTAACTCACTTTATGTTTGCCTTTCATAGCACAGTTTTCTCTATCCTGTTGTCTTGACCTCCATGTCAGTTTCTGTATTAATCAAGCAAAATCAAAAGTTCAATTTTTAACTGATCATTTTTGGCAAGGAGGGGGACGCATTATTCAAATTCTGAGAGAAATAAAATAAATTTGCCATAGTTGCTCACCTTGCTTGGTATTACTTCTGTTTTGGGGATTTCGTTTAAGTTTACTGTATAAACTTGATCCCTGATGGAAACAAGGCAATAAGTCATATCATGTGAATGTATAAAAATGTTAAGCTGCTTCTTATTTTATTTTTACAGATCTGCCTTTATTATGTTTTGGAGATCAGCTGGATTTTCAATATCTCAAACAAAGTCAACAAAGAGTACTTTTTCATTAGTGAGATGCTTTTATATATCATTGTAGTCAAGGAGCTAAGAAAGCTCTTCTCTCTAGGCATGGGTCAAACTGCTACTTGATATTAGCATAGACATATTTCTAATATTTGCTTGAATAATTCTAAGTTAAAAAAGAATAAAGAGAGATTTTTTTTCCCCTGCTGCTTTAGGAAAAAAGAATGGTGAGTGATTTCTTGATGGCAATAATAAAATAGCACTGCTGAAGGCTTTAGCTCTGTATTTTGTTCCTGGTACACAACACTGACTCTTCTCGGTGAATATTTTTGGCTACTTGCAATTCTTGATCACAATCACATATTAGTTTTTCATGAACTAGACACATTAATGCAAGCACCACAAGAGAAAAGAATTTTAATCTAATAAACCAACGAGAGGAAAATTACCTGCCAGCAATATAAAGTGTGTCTCGAATTTTCAACATCAGCTGAAAGTCCAGCCTGTGCTGCGATTCATTGCCTGAAGGGCGTCCTCTAAAAACCGGATATTGCCTTGAATCTGCAAGTAAAAATGGACTAAATCATCAGTCAGGATTATGGAGCTGAAGAATCAATATACAGCATTGATTAGCTGTATATACTAGTTGTAGAAGGGTTTTAACTAAATTCCTCTCTTAAGGTCTTGAATATAAATGAATAAAAGACGATGAATGTCAGCAAATGGCTTTTTTTCTTTTTACTGAAAATAAACAACCTATATACATGGATTGCTGCAGAAAAGCACCCCAAACTGCCCCATTGTCTCCAAACATTAGGAAATGATTACAGATAAATTAATATGTAAAACATATTAATTTAAAGACATGAAAATCTCTCTGAAAATAGATATACTTGGAAAAATTAAAAAAAAAATCCTTTCTAGAAAAGGAGCTGCTCTGGGTGACTTACAGTGATAGTCGACAGTATTGAGGGGCTCATCGTCTTCAGGAAAGCTGACGGCCCTCAACTGAGGAATCATCAGGAGCAGCATGTAGACACAAAGCAGGAAGAACCTCATGGTGGGCCACAAGGAAGTCAGGGCAGCCCCCTCCTCAGAAATCCCACTTAGCTACCTGGAAAACAGAAGCAGGTAAAAAATTTGGAAAAATTTTCAAAAAATTTGGAAAGATCGCTACACTCTCATGAAACCGCTTTCTCATTTGTAATCAGATCTATTTTCACCCCCAACTCCTTCCAAGGCACCCCTTCCATCAGGGATGCTGGTGATGGTGGATCAGGTATTTCCAAAAACACAGGTAAAAGATGGCAGTGTGCCAGATTTGGTTAAAGCGTCTGGTGAGCATATTGCTACTTTAGGCAAACTGTCCAGAAGTTTTGCGGTAACTACGTATATCATCACAACAGAAATCACTAGACACACAAACAGAAATGCTGGCTCCTAACCTGGCAAGGAGACGGCCATAGTTGGGATCAGTCTTTTAATTAAACTCCAATCTGCACCCCTTCCCCCAGCCGTGAAATATATCCGACACAGGTTGTCTAAAATGCCCAAGCTGCCTCAAAAATATCCAGAGAGCTGAGACACTGTCATCCCTCACTGGCATTCGGCTTAAGGTGTTGCTGAGTTCCCAGCTTTACCAAGCCTTTGCCTAAATTCTTAGCTCCTGAAGCTTAAGACCAACATGGACACGATGCCATGAGTGACCTTGAATCAAGGTGAAAGGGAAAGAAATGAAATGATTTCATGACAACCAATCAAGCAAAGCAGGGAGGGACAAAGCAGCACAGCTGATACCCGGCCACTAGGGACATCTACATTTTTACATAAAACCATTTGGACACAAACCAATACCCTAAGTACGCCTGTCCTCTTAGCTTTATTGGACTTGAGAGCTATAAGGGGCCTTAGGGACCATCAAGTACAACCCCCTCGTTTTTCAGATGAGAAAACTAAGGGAAAATAAAGGGACTCAGTGAATTGCATGGAGCTAGTCAGGACAGAACTTGGATCAGCTGGGTCCCTGTCTAGGTTTTTTTCACCAGGGTAGGTGGAGAAGATAAATGACTGGATTTTTTACTTCAAAAACATAGCATCACAAAAAGACTTTGGCAGAAGGAGGGGCATAGATATATTCATCATCTTTATTGAAGTGATGTTTCACAGGTGGTTAAATTGTACATTAAATATGTATAGTTTACTGTATATCAATACTTCAATTTAGCTATAAAAGCAGAACATTAAATTGTATAATAATTGCAGTAAAAAATTTAAAAGATCTTTAAATGTTGTCAACTTATTACTTATTAAAAAATAAATTAGGAGCCTGTGAGCCCATGGGAAGGGCATTTCTATGAAACTGTAAATGATCCATTTTGCAACAATACTATCTCTTCTGGAACCAAAATTGTCACTTCCGGCTACAATATTGAGCATAAAACATTTAGCTTTATCCTCAGTCCTATATACCTAGGAAGTTTTAAGGTGAGTACAAAGAACCACTTCAAATTCTGTGTAATCCAATCACTCAACCAAGTACTGCCTGTTTTACCTACTTAATATCAAATATACAGGTGTGTGCACATGAATGCTGTGTAATATTTCTGTGATTAAAATAAAAATCAAGTATATGTGAATTTTGTAAATCTAGTTTTGCAAGGAGAGAATACTATTCTAGTAAAATTTTTCTTAATGGATGGTTAATCCAGCAGCAAACTAGTATTTTTAAAATGCCTTACAAAAAAGGCTGACAAAAAGCGTGGCTTTTGAAGTCATCTGGCTACATAGCAGATTCTGAGCAAAGTTATACCTACATATAACCAGGCTGATGTTAAGAGTCTGAACAAGATTTGGGAAAAAGATATCTTAAATATTAAGGTGATCTGCTCTCCCTTCCCACCTGCTGCAGTCCGGCTGCAGCAAAATAACGGAAGGGGCGGGGGGTGACGAGCAACTTGTGTAGATTGACACAGCAGGAGTGGGAACCGTTTATTGTAGGACTGGAGAAGTATTTATACATTCCACACAGCTTATCTTAATTAACATAAACTAGA